AAGGTTGCAAGGTTGCAAGGTTGCAAGGTTGCAAGGTTGCAAGGTTGCAAGGTTGCAAGGTTGCAAGGTTGCAAGGTTGCAAGGTTGCAAGGTTGTAAACCTCGTTTATGACAAGAAGTTGCGACACCTTTGGTAATGCATACTTTCCTACGTGGAACAGGCAGTTGGATTCAGCCAGAAGGTTGCCATAGCAACAGAGTGTAAGATCTTACACCTAAACCTTACAGCAGAAAATGGGCCTAAACCTTGACTGGTATAATCACTATCGGTAGGGGGGGGGGGGGGACATATCACCATCATTCGCCACCATGCACCTGTCAGCATGCATCATCATTGTCATCAACAATACTTAATGTAAGCTAGTATCATCAGCTGTGCGATCATAACCTGAAAAGGAGCATCATTCAATATTGATAAACATCTATAAACACTAGCTGACCAGCCCCGAGAATCCGAACCTTAGCGACGTGAAACACAATTCTTCTGAGAAAAGTTGAAGTGTTTTAAATCATTTCCGATCTTTAATCTTTAAAGGGTCAACCTACAAGTCTCAATACTTGAGTTTCAAGTTCCGTTGTTTCTCAGGGCTAGCCTCGCGAGTTTGTGTAGAATATTCGTATGTTCCAGTGAAGGTCCCCTGCGGTGGAATCTCAAAGTGTTTGTATTTTTGAAGTTGTACGTTCTTTTATGTATCGTTGGTATTTGTGAATGTTCTGACGCTGATCAGTAATGAGGCTAACCTTGAGAGCTCTGAGTAAATTCAGTAACTGCAAGGAACACAGCGCTTTTTTTACGAATTCGAAAATGAGCAACGGGTGGCTGTACCATTAGGAAMAATATTTTCTATTACAAAACGAAACTCTTTTCATGACTTGGAAAATGAATTCATTTTAGGGATGACAATATCATTCTTTCGACGCCCGCTTATACTGAATTAATTCTTAAAAGATATGCACCATGGGATCCAAGGTAAACTGAAGCATTAGCTAGGATGTCATTAGATACCSTGTACGGATTCCTTACGCAGCTAACTCCGGCTTAGCATGGCGTTAATGAATTTGGGGTCTTTGTTTAGACGTCCTAGCGTGATAAACGCTGTGTCTGTAAGAAGCTAAAGAGAGGAGGTAAAGGGTGTGATCTTGGAAATATGTCCCCCAGTACAGTTCCAGAATAATGCACTGCCGATTTTAACTCTGCCAAGTTTTTTCCTACAATTTCGGAATGACTTATATTTTCCTTGACGTATAGCTGTTATATAGATGATATTGCATGGCCATGTACGCGCGGAGATACTACATCTATCTTCGTGCAAATGTTGAAAAGATCTCTCACGAGTGAGCGCAGCGAACGAGTGAGAGATTTTCAACACGAGAAGATAAATTTCGTATTTCCAAGCGCCCATGTAATATTCTGTTTATTATATAATTACCCATAAAATCAACTTAACAAGCTTTTTATTATTATAACAAGTTTTTATTTATAAACTAATAGCTTAAATACACATGGTAACGATATTTTCACATGTGAAAATAGCATGTTATTTTCACATGTGAAAATATCAGTTTTTCGAAAAGGAGAAATATAGGTATTTTATGGATAATTCAATATGATAAAACCGATAAAGTGGTCTTACTTGTATATTACAAATCGGTCTTTTAAGAATAGGTTCATTCAGGAAACAGTTAAATTGCTTCAAAACATTGTGTCTTTGTTCATATTTTCATTGATTGAAAATATAGTTAGAGACTTTGAACATTTATTTTTGTTAGAGATGGAAGATAAAATACAAAGAATCAAGCCGTTATCTTGAGTCTCGAATTCAGGGCTGGTTTTGTAGAAAACATGTTTTCGTCTCGAGGAAGAGAATAGAAGTTAAAACCAACAAGACAAAACATCCTGTATTTTTATCAAACAAATTATAAAGAAAATAACCAAAAGAGATTATAATTTCCCTGGTGACTTTTCTTAGCTTTGTTGGGCCAGGGTGGCGCGCGCGTCGTTAACTGCGACTGAAAAGACAACATAGTGAATATGTATTTATCCATCAATCTGTAATTGTTTGAATATTTGGAAGAGATTAAAGGCATTTCTCTTATTGAGAGAATATTTTTGCAGCAACCCGTTATTCATTTGCAGCTATACTCGTCTAAAATGCAGCAACTCATCTAACATGCAGCAACTTGTTTTTTATTTGCAGCAACTAACTAACTTGCTGGATCGATGTGCCAGATGGGCAACCGTACATCTTGACCCAATCCTGGTAGGATACCAATGGTCGTATCGTACTGAGCTTAAAGTGCTATATTGATTTCTGTTCGATAAACTCTTTCAAAGTCTCTAGAGGGTCTTTGCACTTCTTCCCTATCCGGGGGTCGAGACAATTAAATTTTCTTTTCTTGAGATTTGAAAACATTTTTCATGTAAACCTTTTTCATTGTTTCCCCCTTCCAGATTGACGTCACACGCAAGCTACTCGTCAAAATATCAAAAATTCAATACTTGTAGCAGTGTTAATAATTYTGGGACCGACATTTGAAAATTTCTGTAAAATTTTGTTCTTTGACAGTAACGTTGCCAACTAAATACTACATTTCGCTATGAAAATAAAAAAACATTGAAGTTCAGTATGTATGCGAAAGGGAAGGCAAGGAAGAAATTGGTTATGTCACAAAACGCTGCTTGCATGAGGCACATCTGAGCTGAACGGCTTTCCAAAGACTTTCACTCGGCTTAGCGGGATATCTAGTTCCCACTTAATTTTTCCCCACCTCTTTTAATCTAGTCACAAATTTTACGTGAGACTTTTATAAAAATAAAGTTTGCATTGTTTTCTGGTACATTGCTGGGCGCAGCAGGAAAGGGGACCTTATTCGAGTCAATGTGATTAGCGACTTAGCGGGATACCCGTTACCCGCAGCGTGTCTTAACGGGATCACCAGAATGAAAGGAAATCCCAGATTGTTAGATTCAAATGCTCCGCGCCGTACAAAACAGATGAGCTTCAATTTCAGTTTGCAGTAAACCGGGACAGAGCTAGCCTCCTTCGCAGCCGTTCTTAGGGTCGTCACGCAACGTTTCCCTCCCTAAGAACGGCTGCGAAGGAGGCTAGGACAGAGCCGGTCGGTTCCATGAGATACTGAGCGTCTAACTCTGCAACACAATCGAGGGCCCTGAATAATCCCTATGGTCAGTCTTGTCTTTTTTCTTCCGTACGGATGGATCTATTTGAAAAAGTAGACAGAGTACCCAAACGGACGTATTAGCCATTCAGGGGTTAAAGAAAAAACTGGGTTGAGTTGGCATTGAAGTGCATTGTGGGACATATTTCCAAGATGGGGTCTCTTTCGTGGTCACAACTTGTTCACAACGGCCGAAAGGACCTATTGAATTATAAAACAAATAGAACGCGGCTGTAAGACAATAGAAGGTGGATGTGAACAAATGCTAACCGTAAACCAGTCCCAGAATGCAATGCAACGCCAAATCTATCCAGTTTTGGGTAGTGAAGTGGACTTACGAGATATATAGCTATATGTCACGACATTACCGCAAAATCAAAATAGATATTGAAGATCTCATGTGTCAATAGTGAACAATGCCAGGAGCCCATTTTCCGGAGCACGTACCTTTCTTACGCTTATCGCGATCGTTTTCCCAGATTAATATATTTTTAATTTCACGGCTTTTCAATCCGTTAAGCCGTGAATAGAGAACAAAGCTATAGCCACCACAAACAAGAGGAACTAATGACTTTGTGATTTGGCATCAATCCGAATAAAAAATAACCAGTCCGAGAAAATGGTAACCTGACATAGGGGTATTAAAATTGGCCCCTAACAATGCTGGCAGTCGACAAAGCCATTATTGACCCTCTGGTTATTGCTGCTGTGGTCCCTCATTATCCTTGGGTATAAGGAACCCCTTTTGGTGGGGGTGGAGGGGGGAGGGCGAGGGAGGTATCAATCATTTTAGGCTATGGTGGCATAGGAAAGGGGTCGGCGCATCGAGACTCTTGCAGGAACAAAAGAATCGCTGAAGCCTAAAGGCGAAATCAGGGACAGACTGCTAGTGCCATAAGCATTTTAATCATACAGGGCTGGTTTCATTTGAATTAGCAGGGGGTGAGGGGTCAGTACATCAAGACTCCGACACCTGAAACTCTGAAGCCTAGAACAGACAGCTAATGCCATACGTATTTTGATCATACAGTTGGATCCATTGTGTGTCCTCTAATCAGCAGGGGGTGAGGGGTCAATACATCAAGACCCCCTAGAACAGACAGCTAATGCAATAATAATAATAAATATGTTCTTATGTAGCGCATTATAGATTCTCAATGCGCATTCTAACCATACAGTTAGATCCATTGTGTGTCCTCTAATCAGCAGGGGGTGAGTAGCTACTTAGGGGAGTAAGCATTGCGTGACGACAGTAATAGCGGCTGGGTAGGAGACTAGGGTGATGGGTCGGTACATCAAGACCCCTACTAGAACGTAACAATTGACGAATGTATTAAAAATAATAAAACATAAATTTATGAAATTATCTCATTTCCAGCTGAAATTTTCACATCATTTGTTCATTTGTTTACTTCTAGATTAGATGAGGTGGGGGGGGATGGGGAGACTCGAACGACATGAGAAAATAAAGGAATAGGGAAATATAACGAGGCCTCCTTTTTCCTACTGCAAAGTTGTTTTCACCAGCTTTAGACAATGACTTGGCGCGTGAGACGTGCGCAAGTGCACTCTTTCTGACAAACAATCAGAATGCGTGGGCTTTGTCTTACCATCTTTTCATGCTTATTCATTGAATACTGAGTGATTCCCACGCTGATCCTAAGCTGCCCGAGAGAGTGTATTTTTTTAGGTTGGTTTGAGTGGCCTAGTACATTCACAAGTCCCTAGAGTTAGAGAGGATTGTCAGATGGATTAGCATTAAAACTAAAAACCTGAAATAGTGATGACGTAGAAGTATAGCGGACAGTTGGAAAAAACCGTAACCGATTTCTGAATAATTCCACGTGCTTCAGGAATAAGTAATTAAAAGTTAAACTTGGCATTCATTTTCACGACACTTAAATGGCTTCATGGCCCAGCAACACAAAAACGCAAAAATTAAAACCAATTTAAAGTAAAAGATAACTTGAAAACATTTCTGTACCAGAATTTTTTTAAAAAATCAAAAAGCTAAGAAAGTAAAGGGCTGTTTTTATTCCCAGGAAAGATATTGTTGAATAGGAATTGGAGCAAGTAGTGAGAATTAGCCACAAAATAAAATTGTCTGGCTCATAAAATTAATATGTATGATGTACATTTGAGTGACGTAGCGCTTCAGCTTTCATATCATCATCTCTAGTCTTTGGTAGCGTAGATACATTGCACTTAAGAAAATAATGAATAGCTCTTCTCTTTTTTTTATTTTTTTACCGGCTTTCTAATCTTTTGTTATTCATACGATTTGCCTTGTAATATTTTTGAAAATTTTAATAGTTTTCTCTGTGCATAAATAAAATACAAATTATTTTCATTCAAATTTTCAATATAATATCTGTAATCTGCTTAATAATTGTATTTCAATTGTATTTTTCTGCTTAATAATTGTATTTTAGCGTTAATTTGAGCATTGTAGACTTCTTCTTTTCTTTCTTTTTCTTTTCTTTTCTTTTYTTTAATTTTTTTAAATATTATTGTTGAAGTTCTAGCACGCAAGGAAAAAGATGTTTTTGTGCGGGAAAAACATGAGCCAAGTCACTTGAAAACTATGATCGAATACACTTGAAATACCTGACATGTTGTTTAAATTCAAATCCTTGTTAGTACTGTGTAAGATGATGATAAATTAGTACCATAACAACTTTAGGACGATACGAACACGCAACCTAACGGTAGCATTATCATTTCTCACGCATATTTTGAAACGTAGAGAAAAACGTCATTGTATATTGTTTCAAATTTATGCTTGAAGTGAGTCAGCAGAAACAAATTAAGTATCATAAGTTAGGGCGAATTGTCAAGTTGATGCTCGCAGTTTCGTCTGATAAGTTCCCGAGAAATTAATATTATTAATACATAACTATTCATTGATACACGAATTACACGTATATGTTTTCTCTAGGTTGTTTGGCCTTTCTCCTTTCGCAAAAAAATAAATTTCAGAAAGATACGTACAAATGAAAAACTGCTAAATTATTATTATCTATTGCTCAAACTAGTAGCATATAAGCCGAGGTTACCTCTTTCAACTGAATTCTTATTACACCTCAGTACGTGTCTGCAGAGAACTAATTTACATATCAGATCACGTATCAAGGTTGCGTATGAAATGCCTTGAGCGAATGAGCGAATGCAGACTTAATCCCGGCTCCTTATAACTGGAAAGKCGCTTTTCTTTATCTTCTATTCCCTTCAAAACAACATAAGCGGAGTCGCGCATATAAAGAAGAAAACAATTACCGATATATTTTTACCATTAATAATGAGCCATAAATTGAAATGAACGTCAATCTATCATTAATGAGCAATTTACACTAATTGCATACTCCCATTTCGCGAATGAAAGGGATATTCAATCAATTGATTTTCATTCTTGAAAACAAAATATATTTCTGAAACATCCTAATATATAAATTTTGTAGTGTGAGTAGAACATATTGTTGACTTTTTTAGCCCTTGAGAAATATGGTTGAGTAGTATTTCAACAATGTTGAAAATATTCCTATCTTTATTTTTTGACCAGGATAGCAGTTCTAAAACCAAAATATAAGAATTTCATGACTAGATTGAGCTCTCGCAAACTATTATTTGCCATTGTCCACTTGCTTAATCCATTTTCAAATCTGTAAATCAGCTTTATCCTCACTCTGTTTCACATGCAAGAGGCCTTTGGGAGCATATCCAGAGTTTAACTTTACTACTTGGAAACAAGAGACTGCACCATGTTCACCAAGAGCTATATTAACCTCATACCTCTGCAAAGATGAATTCAATAATGTTTTGAACGTAATATCAAATAATTAAATGCACTACTGCTTAGAGGCTGGTATAACTAGCATTAACTTGAGTGGATCTAAGCAGAACTCAAGTAATGGCACACACCTCATTTGCTTTGAACAATGGAGGAACACATATCATGAGGTAGACTTGTTCCAGCCAAGGTGATCCATTCTTGACCCTTTGGAAGTATGGCTGGGTGATTTGTCAAAAAACAGCAGTCTTAAGTTGCATTAATGTGAACCAACGAATAATAAGAGTTCAAAAACTCTGCAGGATACCAGTCAGACATCATTTCAAAACATTAATATAATTCAATGTGATGGAATCAGACTTGTATCGATATACATGTGCTGATTTCTTTACATATACATTGTTTTTTCCTTAACTTTCTTTTATTTTTGAACAAGTTTTGTGTTTAGTGACAGCTGAGTGAGTCTTCTTCATCCTAGGGGATTCCAATGCTTTCTTGGATAACAAAGGGTTATGCTATCCAAACAAAGAAACCAAGTTTGATTTTGAATGGAATAATCGGAGCTGTCAAATGACTGCGGGTACTGAATATTAGTACAAAGAGAGTAATACTACAGAGCTCCAGCAATTTGCATGGAGGGGCCACTCAAGCAAATCAGCACATGGGAAGTGAACTTGACCCACATCACTCAAACACATAATTCAACCAAAAAACTTTTTGATTCAGTTTCTAAAGAACTATTCAAATTGGAATTACAAATACACTATTGAGTACAGAAATTTCTAAAATTGGAGTCATTTGGATATTATTCTGAAATAATTTAATGTGTGTGGTTGCATAGATAAATATTTTCCATCAAAAAAACTACTATTTTTACATAAAGCTGATTACATTGAAAAGAATCATGTTCTACCATTTGCTTGTCTTGTGAGATCCAAGCATTGAAATAAAAACACAACTATTTTGTATACTGCATAAAAGAAATGACATAATTATGATATTATATAATATTTATATGTAAAAGTTTATCATATTGCTYACATTAGGCAAAATCAACGGTATGCACATTTTAAGAAATGTTATGTCCAAAAATATTACTTCAAGGTCTTAAATTACAAAAAGATGTAAAAATGCATGTCGACATGATATATTGATAAAACAGAAACGACAGAAGTCACACTTGATTTTCATACATYGCTTTGAACCAAATTGGTAAATTCATCTAGTGACTGATAGATAGATATGTACTTGAATTCTTATTTTATAGTCTAGGTTAAAAGGCATACACTAGCAAGACTCACTAGAGTTTTGTCATATCAAAGAGGTATATTTCTTGTACTTTTATGCACAMYACAAGTTCTTGTTAGATGTTTGTCYGTGAGGTACTGATTTATTATCCTGGTTTGCCCAACTTTTGAAGTTAAAAGGCAACCACGACTAGTATTTTTTTTATGTCAAGGAGATATATATATTTTTAGGTGTTGAATTCAGGCATCTTGACCAATTAAAACACCCCCAATACAGAGTAACTTATCTTTATCTACCTAATACTTATAATCTCATACCACCTTACTTCCTTGATCAGATTGAATTTGTACTCCTTGAAGGATTAGGTATCTTCTATAGTTTTAGACATGACCCAAAACACTGCCTTCATGGAGCTATAATCACGTATCACCTTACACACACACACACACACACACTGACCACAATATCAGAGCCTTGTAGTCCAAGATATCTTTTCCAATCCTCAAAGGTTGGAGAAGATAAACTTTCGATATAATATCAGGCAATATAGTTTTTATTTTGATACGAAAACGAAATTGCATCAGCTTAGTACTGTTTCAGAACAATCTGCCACTTAGCTCTCCCACAGTTACTGGAGTATTCATCATTTGGGAAGGAGCAAATTGTTCGAAATCGAAATCAAAGCCATCTCCAATCGTCAACTCGTTAGTAATTATTGTGTCCATGTCACACTCTAAACCCTCCTTAAAAGCATCGAGTTCAAGATCACTCGGAAATTTCTCGCGAATAGACTGTAGATTGCTGTTGCAGCTAATATTGCGTTGATGTTGATTTCCTTGTAACTGTCCATGAATACCATTTTGTGAAATCGGAGAGAAAGTACTGTTAGTTTGCACGCTCGTATTCCCCACTAGCGACTGTAAATACAGATCGTAGCTATCCATTGGTGTGGACACATCATTTTGGTTCATTGTACAACTCGTTGTACAAGTATTTTGATAATTGGGTTGAAAGGTATGGACCTCCATGTCCGTGTCCCGGACATACGACATCAAGTCTTGTTGTCCGTACCCGTTCGGATATTGTTGTCGTCTTGTCATGCCTAAACCATTGAAGTTTGGTTGGCTTTGTATAGATATAACAGGAGCCCTGTGCTGGTTTTGAATAAATCTACCATCATAGCCATTTGTAAGGTTCATCGATGTTAGGTTCATCGTCTTTGCATGAGTTTGTTCGTTGCGAGAAAGAAGATTTGATACGGGCGACACATTTTCCCTCGGTCTAATCCTACTACGATTATCGAGGTGGTACGACTCTAAGTTCATAGTTTCTTCCATCATATTGGTCAGCTCTTCAGCAGCGGGATTTGGAGTGCTCACCATGTTATGGTGCATTGGCGAGACGGACTCCTGAATTTCGCCTTCGTCGTCATCCTGTGAAGGTATTGGCGACAATCGTCCGATACTACTCACGTTCGATGCATTCGACGAGGTTCTAGGACGTCCAAAGCTGTCGTTCAAAGGGTAAGGCAAAGGAGAGTTTTGCTCGTATTCGACTAGTTCTGGAACCGTCAGCAATGAGTCTGAACTAGAACTGGTCGGCGAGGTATTTCCCGGGGAGTTCGAGCGATTGATATCTCGAGCTCTAACGACAGTCAACCGAGGACTGCCTGGCCGGTCGTTTTCTTCTCGAATTTTATCCTTCTTTCTTCCTCGTTTTTTCTCAGTAGTTTTTTGTCCTGATTCCAGCGAGTTTGCACGCCGACGGCTCGTTTTGGCCCCTTTTGCGTCAGGGTTTATTACCCACCACGAACTCTTTCCATTGCCTTCGTTTTGAACTCGAACAAACTTACTGTGCAGCGACAAGTTATGCCGAATCGAATTCTGCAAGAAAATGAAAAAATTACATGAGCGAGGGGGATTGACTACTTTGTGACAAAAGTCAAATAATCCAAAGTCAATTTACGACCTGGTCGCATGTCTCTCTAAACCTCACGCTAAACGAACACACGAGAACTTACCTTCCATCCTGCGGAACTATTGCTGTCGCCCTTGTCGCGAAAATATGGTACTGTGTTCACCATCCAATCGTAAATTTGAGACAGTGTTAGTCGCTTTTCAGGAGAACTCTGGATTGCCTGTGTTATGAGATCGGCATAAGAAAAATTTCCCCATGCATTTTTCCGAGAGCTTTTCTTCGGGCCCTCGTTGAGTTGTTTCAAGGCCTGCTCTGGTTCGTTAGATTCGGACTTTGGAGGTCTGAAATCTGAAGGTTCTGGAAGTGGCCAAGTATTCGAACGAGGACGATTGTTGTCCTGTCTTTCTTCCAAAAGCTCAGGCTCTTCCATAACTAAAACCCACTGTCACAACGCCGAAAGACTCGAAATCACAGCCAATACAACAGAGAACATACGATCTTCTCTATCTTGCTAGATTCGAAGGTAAAAAATTTTAATGCACCGCGCATCGGAAATTAGCCACACCGTGACGTCAYGTCGTCAGGGCAATGGTGATGGCCATTTTGATTGGTGTAAAATAGACTTGGATTGACAGGTGATCCACCCATAATAATCGACCAATAGGTTTTTCCGACACTTACAATACAAAGGCCGCAAATTGATGCGCCAATCGTCAAAGAACAGAGCTTGTCAGATAATTGTATATCGGCCCACGCACATAGGTCAATCTTTTGTTGTCATTCTTTTACTGTTAAGCTATGAATTGTTTTGAGTTTCTTATCCAAGTGTAACTTAGATTATAATATCACAGGCCACACGCAAGCAATCTATTGTCTTCGATAACTCACAACCGTAAATGGACAGTCGCCATTCGATTCAAATTTTCGACATAAAGATCGAGCGAGAGTGAATAAAAATTTCACATTTTTGCCTTATGGAAACTCCGCTTCTTCCTCTACCGGAAGTGACTTTGATGGCGTGCGCTTAAAGGCATTTGCGATAATGACTCAAATATACGTATTTTGTGCGATTGATTCTTCATTGCATCTTTCCCTCTCAGCTAGAATTACGCCTTCTTCGCTCAAAATCCAATTGGGTTAGCACGTTGCAGTCTAGGCAGGGTTAGTGAGTAATTGTTCACTTGTGCGCGGCGGTCTTTAGACAGGTGGCCAGCAATTATTTGGTTATTTTGGTCTAACTGAAAGTACGGTGTTAATAAGAATGCTACACGTATGAACAACCTGTTGTATTTATACATTTGGCAACGATTCACTAGCTTGATTTTTGAGTTTATCGGTACATATTAAAGGGATGAAGTCAACTTTTTATTGGAGGAAAGAGGACCTTCAGACGTCACGAATCCACCAGAAATGGATGTCAAAACAAAATACTCATTAGGAATACCTAAATTATTTTACATCACTCGTTGATTTACCATTGCTTAAGAATAAAAAATGGCTTTGTATTCTGGTTTCCCCCCCCCCCGACAGAACGTAATGAGCTCGATATTTTATGCGTGCGGAAAACCAATAATTTTTTGTAATCTGTCACGGTTTCCTTGGGCACCACCAATCTAGCTCTTCGCTGCACTTGACTCCTAAGAATAGCGCAACACTGGCAAGCGCGATATTGATCCAATAAACTTCACATTCTAGATTAGCTCTTTTCGGAGATACTTTTTAATCGTTTCAATCAATTGTAAATAAAAATCCAGTAAAACAGTTCCGCCTGATTCTTTTTCTTGACAGAATTGAGTTGCCACTGGTGGTGCACATGGCCGATTTGTATTGAACTGGTTGAATAGCCTTGGAAAGGTCATCGACTAGTTCCATGTATTTTAGCATGACCGAGTAATAAACCATTTTATAAATGTCGCTTTTCGATTGAAATTCGAGAAACACGCGCTGATTTCATAGATTGCAAACCACTATTAGAATATTGTATTTTTAATGGCCCTGGATTATATCAAAGACGCCGACTCCAATAAATCCACTTCGATTACATGATCTTTGCGATACTGATAATTCGGCTAAGAACACGAAAAGAAACGAGGAAAAAATCTTTTCGGTTTGGTAGCTTATTATTACATGCGTTTAAGCAAAAATACCCTTTCAGTGTCAGTAGTACCGTGGAACATCCAAATTTTGGCCAAATGACAGAAAACCAGATTAAGATTGTGTGACAATTCAGCCAAAAAAAATTTTTTTCTAGTTTCGTTAATTGGAAATCCTAATCGGCCTCGAAAATTTGGAAGCTATAATTCTTATAATTGAATTAATGATAAGCTAAAGTCACGAACGTGGTTGTACATTAGTCACCTCTTTTCCACATTTATTTTATAAATTAAAAATGATGGTTAATCAAAAAAGAAGCTTTTCTGCGGATTGCATATTTATAACATTGAAGGCATGCAAACACTTTAAAATTACCAATCAATTGAGGCATTGTCATTTTGTATCGTTTTTTGTCTCGCAATATAGAAAGAAAAAAATATACAAGTATACTATTTGATTGATTGATTAGACTGACGTCATTGGACCACGCGAATAAGCGTGGGCTGTGTCAGATTGATTGCTAGAAGCAGCTGACATTATCTATTGTTCAGCAAGCGAGCGTGTTCCAATACGATTATGCTCCTAGACTTTGCTTACGTATTTGAGGAGGCGGACAAGTGAAAGGCGATAAAAATCAGAGACATAATTGAGGATCTTTCTTGATTTCTTCCTCTTAGCTCAACCATTTAGAAACGACCTTGAGGAAGAGCACTACCAAATTAACTTCCATCACTCGCTAACAAAAAAATTTCGTATCCAGCTAATAAATCTTACACTATTTCTTCGAGTGTTTTTAGATTTTCTAAGATTTTTCTAGAGACTGATTTTAAATGCTGGACAGTTATCTTAATTTTCGCTCTCACAAGGGTGGTTTTTCCAAACAGTTCACAATTGGTAATCTCCAGAAAAAAATTCCCGCAACCTCGACTCGATCTTTATGTAAATTTTTWAAAAAATTCAATCGATCCGGATCCTGGAGATTATTCGAAACTTAAAACCCTTCGTAATAGTAAGCTTGGAAAATTAAAGTATCTTTATTCCCAATTTGCGGTTGGCGTCTGAGGTTCACCAACTATTTTCCCCTTTCTACTATTTTTAGATGAATATCAATCGAATCAGAAAGAGAAATCGAGAGAAAGAATTCTTTAAAAAGTAGATACGACATTGATGAGATGAAGCGCATGAAAATAATAATAAAAATAAAAATAAACGCGACGCGCGATTTTTTAGAAATATATTTTTTTCTCCGCCAAATTTCTTCATAGGAGTGTAAACAAGATCGACAAACAGCGTACGTGGTCTGTTGTCAACATAACCTGGCCACCGGAAGTAAATTTTGTACAGGCTACCTGTAGGAATGTCATTAGCCGGGCATTATGTAGAGTTTAAAAATGTGGTAAAAAGAGTTTTTCTTGTAGTAGTGAGAAGACYTCATTATTATGTGTACAAATGTTTCTCCTATCGGCAACCACGCTAGAATTTTTTTGGCTTCGAGCTAGACACTTTTAATGAAAAGCTGGTAAGCTTGGTAGCTTATGCAGAGCATATCATTAAGACCTATAAATTTAAACCCCAATTTTTCTGCGTTGTTTGCGGTTGCTACTAAAATACCAGATAACCCTACAAAAGCCAGCCATGGTGCTAAAAACTTTCCCAAAGCAATTTGACATTCAGCGACACGATGAAAGCCTTCAGTTTACCTGTTAAAAACACGTGCTTATTGACGTCAATGATTGTTTGGCTCAACAGTTTTGGGAATTTTTTTCCGGTGAGGTAAAGTAATGTTTATGATGGAAGAGCATAGTTCGAAAAAGTACTCTATTAAAGAAAGGAATGAAAAGGAAGGAAACTAGTATTAGAGATGGTGGGTAGGGTCAGAGCATGTCGTAGAGTAGGATGGTGTGAGAGGTAATGCATGGATGATATGAAGGGGGATTGAAGGGTAGATGGGGTAGTATAGTAAGGTAAGATAATGTGGATAGGTTGGATGGTGTGGTGTGAGCGATGCGGAATGTATTCCTTAAAATAAATTTTAGGTACTGAATTTCCTTATCTATATTTTTTTGTAAGTTGTAAAGCGCCTTGGACATGCATGTGGATATGAGCGCCGTACTATTTAAATATAAATTATTATCATTATTAATTCAAAGAGAGGAGAGGAAAGCGAGGGAGGAGAGCAGAGCAGAGGAGAGGAGAGACGAAGGAAGGAAGTATCAATTGCATGACCAGTTTCAACTCGGTTTACTGTAAGCACATTAGATATGAAATACTAAGTTTAATAGTCATATGAAAATGAAATGTTTGTGGTTGACTCTGTGAATCACTATCGAATGTCTGGTTGTTAGCTGAACGACGACAACGATAAAACCAATTTGAATATCCCATAGTTCAGAATAATAATCAAGAAACAGCGTCTTTAATAAAGAGCAGAACAGCGAATGTTTAGGGTCGCAATACGGGAGCCGGATCATGACAGCATGTATCAATAGGATTATGCGACTATTACAAGACATCAAAGAATCGAATTTAACGAAGCACAATATAAATGATTGCCCAAATACTGTCAGATATATAATTTAGATGCGTTTCTAACTCAGAGGAGCACGCGACACTGACTCACTTCCTTAATTGGTCGCATGTCACTCGCCTATGATGTCATATGGCCACGCCTCACCTGTTATCACGTGACATGGAATATTACGTAGAACTTAACATGGCAAAGCACTCGAACAACATTTTGTTATTTACACGAGTTAATATATCATTGGAATTAAAGTGTAAAATATTAAACAGGGGAATAGGAACAGTTTCTCAAAATTGCGCTCGCATTCAAACTCACTAAGGCTTGCAAAGTTAAACAAGTGAAGATTGTAAGATTTCAATTTACTGTAGATTTAGTTATTTTTCTGGTCCAAATACTCCTTCTATTTAGGCACTGCGATTTAGACTCGCGCGAGTACACAATCTTTAAAGTGAACTATAGAGGCATTAGATATCAAAATGATCCGTCATAACAACTTCTGGACTGATCTAAATCAGAGTACGGCTAATTCACAAATCGAAATGCGGAGTATAGCTATCTTGTTAGGGACAAATGGCAATTCTATGACAAGCCATTCAAGTCTATTTAGAATGTTCTAGGTAGAGTGTCTATAAGCGTCGCTGGACCTGAAATCACTGAAGAGCGACAAATAGACTGAGTACGTCATACAAATGTATGTCGGGGTGCCTGCAATGTATTGTTAGTGCGCAGACCTCCCACAGAGGACAAGGGTTTAAAAATAGGGGGATACGAATTTCAATATTGGAGCTAAATGACTTTACCGCTTACAGTATGTAAATAGTCGGTCGCCATTGACAAACAGGCTCTGTTAATTTGATTGATGTAATGTAAAGTTGGTATGATACATTTATAATTTATAGTCTTATTCGCGAAAATATGACAGCCACCTGGCGGCCTCAAGTATAATATTAAGGCGCATTAGTAGCTTCATTAACTAGGATGGTGGTCTGACTATATCTTAGAGACTGCGAGTGATATTTTTAATCTCGTGGTATGCGTATCGATTGTAGCACGTGAATGCAAGACGCGCCTCGAAGACTAATTGCGCGTTTGCGCGTCACGTGTATTAATAAAACTAGAAGTTTTTCAGAACTTACGCGCGGAAGCCTCTGCAGTCTTCATATGTAATAAGATTTGGAAGATAGAAAAAGGCTGACTTAATTTTACCGCTTCTATATGTAGAATGTAAATAACATTACAGAATCTGGAACTATATTTATGGTTTAAATTTTAAACATGTGTCAAATGATGGTTATTTCAAATCGATCAACACTTATTTTTTGCGGTGATTTCAATGTTTGTTTTGTTTCTAAACTAATTTTTCCCCAGGGAGGGAGGGAGGAGAGAGTTGAATAGAAAGGCTGGTGTTATGACGGAATACATACATCCTGCTCACCCCCTCCCCTAGTGAATTTCAGAGCCTATAGAGATTATAGTTATGATAGACACACTGCTTATTCATTTCAACCCACGTTTCATTCCCCAGAGAATTCTTTGTTTAATGGTTACGCATCCAGGAAGACACAAACTCTTTGCTGCAACTTAGTCAAGCAAGGAATCTTATTTTCAAGAGAATCACACATGATCTGAAATGGGAAAATATAGTATGGCAAGCATGATTGGATCCGTCCATATATAATAAAGACGGTGTACGTGCCTGCCTGGTTTATGGTTTAGGTAGAACCTTGTGGTGCTATGGTTAGTCTCCCCCTCCCCTCCCCCCTCCCCAAAGCGCTGCTACGCAGGCTATTCTATGGTGGGCATGTGTGACAAGCGGCTTGCTGAAATGTGAAACTATAAGCTTATATTCTCTCCTCAATAAAAACTTGTAAGTGCATCAATAAAGATAACAAAACGACAAATATAAACCTTAATGATACAATGGCCAAAATCGTGCGGTTCCAAATCGAAAAAGAATCATGTTGCGATCTAATCTAAAATTGGAACAGAAACTCGCAACGTAAGTATTGAAATAAAAGGACAAGAGTAGTGGTCCTGGAAAATGTACTGACTCAAAGAAAGATGGGAGATGGAGTCTCAGTATATTAGTAGAAGCTGGGAATAATTATTTGATATAATCTATTTCTCGGCACGAAACGTTTGAGCAATTGCTTCTARCCAGAGTGTTTTTTGAATCGATGCTCCTAATTTCGTTTTTGTAGGATCTAAAGGTAGGTTTCGAAACTTGTCACGAAACTTTCAGGGCAAGGAAAGAGGGGTTAAAGTCTAGAAGAGTTACGTGGGGAAGGTAAATAAGAATAAGTACAATCGATATATCTGCTTAGCAAACTTCCACTACATAACAATATTGGTAATTATTTCTTGAAAAATATCTTGGTCGTATATCGAGGCTTTTTTTCCCCGGTTCAAATTCACAGTGGTGCTCGACCATATAATATTTAGACTCAGCTTTAACAATTAAAATTAAATCTATTTATTAAATCAAAAATTAAATTAATACTTTACCCCCTTTACCGAAAAAAGTTAGGAGCATGTAAGATTATAGCGCCCTCATTTACTCACCCTTGCCCCCCTTCCACACCCCCCCCCCCACATGTCCAATAAAAATAAAAATTCCAAATGGAAAGGTCTACATTTAAATTTTTTTCAATTCTCGATCAAAGAAAACGCTTGTTTTGAATCTCTAGACACGTGAATAGTGCAAAGAGCCCAAGATTGCAGCCGTCACAAGCTTCTTTCTATAAATTACTCGTATTCTGCACCGCTCTAGAACGATCCACAATATTTCAAACAACAAAAGTGACATATCTGGTTACAGTTAATGATGCTAAATATAGTTGCTCACACATGTGTAGAAACTAAAAGAATCAAACAAAATGAAAGCGAGACGAATGCAAGTTTTAGATTTTGGCATCAAAATATAAGATTGGAATATGTAACTAGGCTGGAAATCTGAGCTAATATGTAACTCGAATCATTTCATCATTACTATTTTTGTAACATCGAACGTGTAAAAATGATACTTGGGACAGAAACCATTAGCCATTAAATTTTTAAAAAGGTACATCTTTTTTCCGGTATTGGTTGCCCCCAGGGTGCCTGAAACTCAAGAATACTTTAGTTTGATCTGTCAAGTGGCACGCACCACACATTTGTGGTRCTGTTTATTGGGTTTTGTGGTCCTCAAGCGGCACTCTCGCATTTTGATGCCAAGACACAAATTAAGCCAACTTTGCCGCACTTCACTTTTAATTTTTTTCCTTTTCTAAATTTTTAATGTCATTTAATCTTTAAATACTCACATTTACTTGAAAGAAAAGCCGTGCTGAATGCACAGAGGTGTAAGGACTTAATTCTGATAAATTTAAAATAAATTTGGGTCCGATGTTAAAAATAAGCCGGAGTGAAAATTGAAAACCACGAGAAAATGAATAAAGGAATAAATGAATGAATGAATGCAGATAAACAAGAAACGTGAGAAAGACAATTAGTATTAATAGTGGTATCAGAAGTTATACATATATATATATATATATATATATACACTCCATTGCAGAAACGTTGTAGTATACATATCAGTACATTTATACAAATACCTAATGAGATGCAT